GGTGGAAGGATCACTGGAAGACAGGAGTTCGAGACCAGCCTAGCCAACATGGTGAAACCCAGTCTTTACTAAAAATACAAAAATTAGCCAGGCGTGGTGGCATGTAGTCCCAGCTGCTGGAGACGCTGAGGCAGGAGAATTGCTCGAACCCAGGAGGCAGAGGTTGCAGTGATCTGAGATTGCACCACTGCTGCACTCTAGCTGGGGCAACAGAGTGAGACTTTGTCTCAAAAAAAAAAACAAAAAAAACAAAAAAAAAACACACAACAAGAAAACAACAAACCCAGCTCTGCAACTTTCTTGCTGTGAGACCTTGGGCAAGTCACTTCACTTCTCTGGGCCTCAGTTTCTCTCTCTGTGACAAAGTGATAAAAACAGCTTCTCCTTCATAGGGAAGTTGGAGCACAGAAGGGCACTGGAACCCTTAGAACAGCACATTGCTGGTATCTTGTTATTATTTAAGTTGTATCCTATAAAGTTGCCTGAAAGACTAAATTAGTGGCTATGGGACTGTTGCTCCTAGGGGAAATTTCAGCTTAGGTTCCTGTGAGCCTCCAGTCATAACCTTTTTTTGGAAACAGGATCTTGCTCTGTCACCTGGGCTGGAGTGTGGTGACCCGATCGGGGCTCACTGCAGCCTCAAACTCTTGGCCTTAAGTGATCTTCCTGCCTATACCTCCCAAGTAGTAGGGACTACAGGCATGTGCCACCACACCCAGCTCTGGTCACAACATTTTTTTTTTCTTTTGTTTTTTAAGATGGAGTTTCGCTCTTGTTGCCCAGGCAGGAGTGCAATGGTGCGATCTCGGCTCACCGCAACTTCTGACTCCCAGGTTCAAGCGATTCTTCTGCCTCGGCCTCCCGAGTAGCTGGGATTACAGGCGTGCGCCACCACACGCAGCTAATTTTGTATTTTTAGTAGAGACAGGGTTTCTCCATGTTGGTCAGACTGGTCTCGAACTCCTGACCTTAGATCCACCTGCCTCAGCCTCCCAAAGTGCTGGGATTACAGGTGTGAGCCACCAAGCCCAGCTTGGTCACAACATTTTAATCAACTGATCAATACACAACCTTGCTCTGTATGTTTCTGTTTGAAGACAACTTACTAAATCTATATTGTTAATTCATTAACTTTGAACTCACAGCCAACAGCACAGTAATTCATGCCTGAATGAAGCTTCTCTCTTTTTTTTTTAGAGATGGGATCTTGCTCTGTTGTTCAGGCTGGAGTGCAGTGGCGCAATCTCCACTCGCTGCAACTTCTGCCTCCTGGATTCAAGCAATTCTCCTGCCTCAGCCTCCGGAGTAGCTGGGACTATAGGCGTTCACCACCAAGCCCGGCTAATTTTTGTATTTTTAGTGAAGACAGGGTTTTGCCATGTTGGCCAGGCTGGTCTCGAACTCCTGGCTTCAAGTGATCCCCCCACCTTGGCCTCCCAAAGTGCTGGGATTACAGATGTTCACCACCAAACCTGGCTAACTTTTGTATTTTTAGTAGAGACAGGGTTTCGCCATGTTAGCCAGGCTGACCTCGAACTCCCGGACTCAAGGGATCTGCCTGCCTTGGCCTCACAATGTGCTGGGATTACAGGTGTGAGCCACTGCGCCTGGCTGACATGAGCTTATTACGTGACAGAGGCCCCGGGTGAAATATGGACTCCAGAAGATTAACGCCTATAACATAGTGATTATCCCAATTTTACAGATGGTGAAACTGAGGCCAATGCACGTGATGTGACTCATCAAATCACATGGTCAGTAAGTGGCATGGAGCTGGGGTTCCAACTCTCAGTGTGGGCCCAGAGTTGATCTTGACCCTCTTCTCTAGACCGTGGGCTCCAGGAGAACAGGGGTCCTCTCTGTCATCTTTCCCCCACCTACCCAGTGCCCCCAGTTCTGCGCCTAAGCCACTTGCAGGAGATGAGAAAATGTTCCGAGGGTGTGTTAACCATCTCACCTTTGCCTTTGAGCTTCTCCAGGGCTGGGGGCTGGCCCCCGACCAAGGCCAAGAACTCAGCCTCCAGTTCTTCATCATTAACTCCATCCTCAGGGATCATCAGGCCATCTGGGGAGAGGTCAACCAGCAGGCCCAGCTAGGGGGACAGCAAGGGTTCAGTTAGTCCTTGGGATGGACCCAGCCATGACAGATCCAGAGTCCCTTGGGGAGGAAGGAACCAAGGTCTCCTGGGGAAAGCCGTTTCCCTGTCGAGGGCCAGGAGGCTGGAACGGGCCCAGAACAGGTGTTCCAAGACAGGCCAGGCCCTCTGGCACAGTTCAACCTGGGGCAGAGGGCAAGAGACCCAGCTCCCTGCTCTGAATCCACACTTATGATGTGCTGCTGAGCTAAGTTCAGTGGGAAAAACAGGCCCCTGGGTGCACGCAGTGGCTCATGCCTGTAATCCCAGCACTATGGGAGGCCAGGGGAGGAGGATGGCTTGAGTCTGGGAGTTCCAGACCAGCCTGGGCAATGCAGTGAGCCCCCATCTCTACAAAAAAATTTTTAAAAATTAGCTGGGAGTGGTGGTGTGTGCCTGTGGTCCCAGCTACTCGGAGGCTGAGGCAGGAGGATCATTTGAGCCTGGGGAGGTCAAGGCTGCAGTGAGCCATGACTGTGCTGCTGCACTCGGCCTGAACAAGAGAGTGAGGCCCTATTGAAAGAAAGGAAAGAAAGAAAGAAAGAGGGAGGGAGGGAGGGAGGGAGAGAAGCAGACCCCACACTTTGCCCAAAGCAAAGCTACTCTGTATAGTTGGGCTTTTCTTTCTAGCATCCTCAGCAGAGGGGGCGGTGTGGGAAGGTCCAAGCTTCAAGAGCAATTAGAAGCCCTGATGGCCAGGCACAGTGGCTCACTCCAGTAATCCCAGACTTTGGGAAGCTGAGTCGGGTGGGTCACCTGAGGTCAGGAGTTTGAGACTGGCGTGGCCAACATGACAAAACCCCATCTCTGCTAAAAATACAAAAATTAGCTGGGCATGGTGGCGGGCGTCTGCAATCCCAGCTACTCAGGAAGCTGAGGCAGAAGAATTATTTGAACCTGGGAGGTGGAGGTTGCAGTGAGCTGAGATCACGCTACTGAACTCTAGCCTGGGTGTCAGAGCAAGACTCTGTCTTCCAAAAAAAAAACAAAAAAAAGCAATTAGAAGCCCGGATGGACAGGGCCGGGTGTGGTGGCCTCACGCCTGTAATCTCAGTACTTTGGGAGGCTGAGGTGGGCGGATCACCTGAGGTCAGCAGTTTGAGACCAGCCTGGCAACATGGTGAAACCCCACTTCTGCTAAAAACACAAAAATAAGCCAGTTGTGGCAGCACATGCCTTTAATCCCAGCTACTTGGGAGGCTGAGGCAGGCGAATTGCTTGAACACGGGAAGTGGAGGTTGCAGTGAGCCAAGATTGAGCCACTGCACTCCAGCCTGCGCAGCAAGCAAGACTCCGTCTCAAAAAATAAATAAATAAATAAAAAGAAGGCCTGACGACAATGTAGGAGTTGGAAGTGGGGCCTTTTCCTATCTTGGTTAATGACCAATCATGATGTGATAACACTGTGTTTAACTATATGAAATTGCCTTTCCTGTAGGTAGAAAATGCCCAAATATTGGCAGTTATGTATGGCTCTACCAACTGCTAATAATGATAATAGTAACATTTATTGAATATTATGTGCTAGCGCTTTCCATAAACTATCTCTGTGAATCTTTACAGTTGTCCTGTAATGTAGGGTCTCTTGGAGGTCTCCATTTTTTATTATTTATTTATTTATTTATTTTGGGACGGAGTTTCGCTCTGTCACCCAGGCTGGAATGCAGTGGTGCGATCTCAGCTCACTGCAAACTCCGCCTCCTGAGTTCAAGTGATTCTCCCACCTCAGCCTCCCAAGTAGCTGGGTTTACAGGTGCCCGCCACTACGTCCAGTTAATTTTTGTATTTTTAGTAGAGATGGGGTTTCACCACGTTGGTTGACCAGGCTGGTCTTGAACTCCTGACCTCAGATGATCTGCCTGCTGTGGCCTCCCAAAGTGCTGGGATTACAGGTGTGAGACACCACACCCGGCCTCCATTTTTTATTTTTATTTTAGAGAAAGAGTCTTGTTCTGTCATCCAGGCTGGAGTACAAGTAGTGGGATCACAGCTCACTGTGGTCTTCAGCTCCTGGGCTCAAGCGATTGTCCCTTCTCAGCCTCCCAAGTACCAAGGACTACAGGCAAATGCCACCATGCACAGCTAAATTTTTTTATTTTTTGTTGAGATGTGGGGGGGGGGGTCTCACTTTTGCCCAGGCTGGTCTTGAACTCTGGCCTCAAGTGAGTCTCCTGCCTCCGCCTCTGCTACTGAAGTGCTGGGATTACAGAGGTCTCTATTTTACAGATAAGAAGCTGAGGCTCAGAGCTGTGAAGTCAAGGCTCCAATATGCAGAGGTCAGGAGGGAACTTCAGGTCAGCCAGACTAATAATCTGAACAGCAAGCTATGTCCTGGGCTCCTTCCATCAAAAATGAGAAAAATCAAACTTCCTGGTGCCTGGGGCAGAGGAGTTGGGAAAGGGAGAAGAGGCCCAGCCACAGTGCCATGAGCTTATGGCTGCAGCCCTGGATTTGAGCTTAGCTCTTGCCAAGCTGTTAATCCCTATGACCTTGGGCAGATATCTTCACGTCTCTGAGTCTCAAAGTCCTCATCTGTATAATGGAATAAAGAGTCTGACAGGGCCCGACTGATGCAAAGCTTTGATGTGCCAAGTCCGAGGACTGCCCCTCCCTGACTGGAGCTGCTGCGGCAACAGGTGGCCCCGAACCCGGGGCGGAGCCCCAGAAGCTGGGGAGCCAAGGCCTGTAGGCCACCCTTGTGGGGGAAGGTGGTGGTTGGAGTCTCGCTTGGGACGGGCGGGGTACGGGGCTCACCTGGGGGCGGAGATCGGGCTTCCCCGGGGGGTGGGGCTCTTCCCTGAGCGTCTGTATCGGGGGTGGGGAGGGATCCTCAGGTGGGGCCGTGGGGGGCAGACTCACCTGGCGGGCGGCCGCAGCGCCTCTGCCCGGGGGTCCCGGGGGTCCTTTCCTCTTGTGCATCTTCCAGGCTGGATGCCCGAACCACCGGCCCCCAAGCCCGGCCTTGCTCTGCCTCCTTCCCCCGGCCCTGTCGCCGCGCACGTGCCCTTCCTGAGTCCTGCACCCCTCGTCAGCGCCCCGCGGCCGTCGATCCCGAGCCCTCGCCTCCCTGCTTGGCCGCCGCACTTCCGCCTCGGGCCTCGGGCGCCGCAGCACCGGAGCGCGGCCACTGGACTCGCCGGGTCCAAAGCGCCGAAACTACAACTCCCGGCAGACAGTGCGAGGGCGCGCATGCGCTTGGTGGCGGCGATGCGCAGTGTCGCGGGCTGCGCGATGGCCTTCGTGTTGCGCATGCGCAGGGCGGGGCCTCGCGGAGCGCGGGAAAGAATCAGCGCGCGCGCAGGTGTGAGCGGCGGCGACCTCTGTTTAGTTCACGGCGTTTTGCAGACACCCACGGGCCCCGGCTTCACGTGGGCTCTCGGGCTGTGGGTTCCTCACTTTTCGGTGATCCGCGTAGTGTCAGTGTGGGGCTTGTCACCCGGAGTGGGATCCACAGGGTCCACCCTCGGGCTATGTGATCCTTCAGCTCCCGACTCAGCCTCCGGGTTTCTGTGAGGGCCAGTTTGGCCATTTATGTTTTCCGAAAATGGTAACGCGGATAATTTAAGGCACTTATTGCCAACGGATCCGGGTAGAGCTCGTTTCTGATAAGAACAGAAGGTCCTCAACGACTTCTGTGGCCCAGGTCGGTTTGGGCTTGCCTCGCCCCCAAGGCGGGGAGAAACCAGCCTGTGGTAGCTCTTGCCCCTCCAAGGACCCAGCTGTCCCCTTTAAAAGTGGCGCGATCTTGGCTCACTGCAACCTCTGCCTTCTGGGTCCAAGAGATCTTCGTGCCACAGTCTCCTGAGTGGCTGGGATTATGGGTGTGTGCCACGACGCTTGGCTAATTTTTTTTTTTTTTTTTTTTTTTTGAGACGGAGTGTTGCTCTGTCGCCCAGATTAAAGTGCAGTGGAGTGATCTCGGCTCACTGCCATCTTCACCTCCCGGGTTCAAGCGATTCTCCTGCCTCAGCCTCCCAAGTAGCTGGGATTACAGACATGTGCCACTATGGCCAGCTAATTTGTATACTTTTAGTGGAGACAGGGTTTCACTGTATAGTTCAGGCTGGTCTCGAATCCCTGACCTCAAGTAATCTGCCCACCTCAGCCTCCCGAAGTGCTGAGATTACAGGCCTGAGCCACTTTGCCTAGCCTAAATTTTTTTTTTTTTTTTTCACTCTGTTACCCAGGCTAGAGTGCAATCTCAGCTCACTGCAACCTCCGCCTCCTGGGTTCAAGCAATTCTCCTGCCTCAGCCTCCTGAGTAGCTGGGATTACAGGTATGCACCACCACACCTGGCCTTGTTTTCCACCCGCCTCAGCCTCCCAAAGTGCTGGGATTACAGGCACGAGCTACCGCACCCAGCCTAATTTTTGTATTTTTAGTAGAGATGGGATTTCACCATATTGGCTAGGCTGGTCTCAAAAGGCCCCAGAAGCCCCTGGAATGTCCTCGAGTGTCCTTGGAAGGGCTCCCAGATACCCCAGTCTAGAGGGAGGGGCTTCACACAGACTATTTCATTCCAGGGATCGGAGTCTGGGTCCCGGGGCTTCCCAGGAGGAGCTCCCAGGGGCCATATGCCTTTCAGGTCCTGGGCATAAGATCAGCAGCGTGGAGATTTGAATTCCTAACTGTCCATGGCCCAAAGTGGCTGTGACTCTGTGTCCCAATGGTGGCCATCTGACCCTGGGTTAGCCAAATGGGCTGAAGTGCAGATGGGGGTATCCTCTGCCCTCAGCCAAGGCCACTGGATATAGACAGAGACAGGGACTGCTTATAATGATGAGAGATTTTGCTTGTTTTCAGATTTTTCAAGGGGAAGATAAAATGACTAAGAGGAAGCTGGGGACCTCAGGTATGTTGTTTCTTGATTTCTGCTTCTGCTTTTGGGAAGCTGCAGGCCTTTTTGTTTTGTTTTGTTTTTTTGAGACGGAGTTTCGCTCTTGTTACCCAGGCTGGAGTGCAATGGCTCTATCTCGGCTCACCGCAACCTTCGCCTCCTGGGTTGAGGCAATTCTCCTGCCTCAGCCTTCTGAGTAGCTGGGACTACAGGCATGCGCCACCATGCCCAGCTAATTTTTTTGTAGTTTTAGTAGAGACAGGGTTTCACCATGTTGACCAGGATGGTCTCGATCTCTTGACCTCGTGACCCACCCGCCTTGGCCTCCCAAAGTGCTGGGATTACAGGCTTGAGCCACCGCGCCCGGCCGACTGCAGGCTTGTTTATTGCAAATCTGGCTAACACAGCCGTCCCAAGCACCTTACCTTGTGATCTGCCCACCTCAGCCTTCAAAAGTGCTAGGATTATAGGTGCAAGCCATAGCACCGGGCCAATCCTTGTTTTCTTTTAAGGAGAGGAAATAAATTGAAAAACAATTAACCAGGTGTGGTGGCTCATACCTGTAATCCCAGGACTTTGGGAGGCCAAGGCAGGCGGATCACTTGAAATCAGGAGTTCGAGACAAGTCTGGCCAACATGGTGAAATCCAGTCTCTACTAAAAATACAAAAATTAGCCAGGCGTGGTGGTATGCGCCTGTAATCCCAGCACTTTGGGAGGCCAACTCACTTGAGTCTAGGAGTTCAAGACCAGCTTGGGCAACATAGTGAGACCCTGTCTCTACAAAAAATAAGGAAATTAGCCGGGTGTGGTGGTGGGCACCTGTAGTCCCAGCTACTTGGGAGGTTGAGGCAGGAAGATTGCTCGAACCAGGAGGTGGACGTTGCAGTGAGTCAAGATTGCACCGCAGCACTCCAGCCTGGCTGATAGAGCGAGATCCTGTCTCAAACAAACAAATAAAAACAGTGTTTTGTTATGCCAGCAAAAAGAAGAAAAAAATAGGAAAGAAAAATAGAAATGACGGAGAGGATGTATAGGAAAAGTGAAAGTTTTCTAGAGCTTTTGCAAGCCTCTGGAGGGGTCCACAGCTTAGAGGAGGTCTCCCGGGGCTTCAGGCAGCGGGACAGCCTCCCTGCTGTACCAGTCCCAGAGATGACCCCTGGAATAGTGTTTGATGTACTGCAAGGCCACCTGGTATGTGGCTGAGTGTTTTATTCTGGGGCTCAAAACCTGGGTACATCCCAGTTCTGCTCACTGTGTGATGGTGGATGAGTTCCTCTGTGCCTCAGTTTCCCCTTTTGTAAATTGGGGACAATAAAGACACTATTTCCTTTAGTGCAGTGGTTCTCTAGTAGGCAAGAGGAAGGGATTTTGCCCCCAAGGGATAGTTGGAAATGTTTAGATACTTTTTTTTAATTTGGAGATGGAGTCTCACTCTTGTCCAGGAGTGCAGTGGCGCAATCTCAGCTCACTGCAGCCTCCATCTCCTGGGTTCCAGTGATTTTCCAGCCTCAGCCTCCTGAGTAGCTGGGACTACAGATGTGCACCACCATGCCTGGCTAATTTTTGTATTTTTAGTAGGGATAGGTTTCCCAGTGTTGGCCAGGCTGGTCTAGAACTCCTGACCTCAGGTGATCCGCCCACCTTGGCCTCCCAAAGTACTGGTATTACAGGTGTGAGCCACCACTTTTGGTTTTCATAACTGGAAAAGATACTGACATCTAGTGGGTGGAGGCCAAGGATGCTACTCAGATATCCTACCATGCATAGCATGCTCCCAGCCCCAAAGAATGATCCAGCCCCAAATGTCCCCCAAGGTGGAGGATCCTGCCCTTAGAGCTCACATGTGGATTAGTATCTGTGAAGCACCCATAACTGACCTAAGGTAGGACACAAATGTATGCTGCTGTTAACAATTATTCCAGGCTTTTTAAAAAACTTTTATTTTGAGGTAATTTGGGACTTACTGAAAAGTTGCAGAAATAATTCAGAGAGTTCTAGCTACCCTCCCCCAAGCTTTCCCTAATGTTAACATCTAGCATAGCCATAGGACGATGATCAATTGTAGAAGAGCATGAGAAACAGGACAGGACTCTAACCTCAGTACACTACTTCTAGATTTTTTGTTGTTGTTGAGACGAAGTTTTGCTCTTATTGCCCAGGCTGGAGTACACTGGCACGATTTTGGCTCACTGCAACCTCCACTTCCTAGGTTTGAGTGATTCTCCTACCTGGGCCTCCCAAGTAGCTGGGATTACAGGTACCCGCCACCACACTCAGCTAATTTTTGTATTTTTTTAGTAGATACAGGGTTTCGCCATATTGGCCAGGCTGGTCTTGAACTTTCGACCTCAGGTGATCTGCCCATCTCACCATCCCAACGTGCTAGGATTACAGGCGGGGGCCAATGTGCTCAGCCCAGACTTTTTTAAAGACAGAGTCTCACTCTGTCACCCAGGCTGTAGTGCAGTGGCACGATGTCTGCTCACTGCAGCTTCTGCCTCCTGGGTTCACAAGATTCTTCTACCTCACTCTCCTGAGTAGCTGGAATTACAGGCATGTGCCACCACGCCTGGATAATTTTTGTATTTTTAGTAGAGACAGGGTTTCACCATGTTGCTCAGGCTGGTCTCAAACTCCTGGCCTCATGTGATCTGCCCACCTCAGCCTCCCAAAGTGCTGGGATTACAGGCATGAGCCACTGCGCCCAGATTTTTTTTCTTTTCTTTTTTTTTCAAGACAGAGTCTTGCTGTGTCACCCAGGCTGGAGTGCAGTGACGCAATCGTAGCTCACTGCAGCCTCGACCTCCCCAGGCTTAGGTGATCCTCCCACCTCAGCCATTTGAATAGCTGGGACTACAGGTGTGTACCACCATGCCTGGCTAATTTTTGTATTTTTTGGAAGAGACGAGGTCTCACTATGTTACCCAGGCTGATGTTGAACTTCTGGGCTCCAGCAGTCCATCTGCCTTGACCTCCCAAAGTGCTGAGAATTACAGGCGTGTGCCATCACGCCTGGTCAGACTTTTTCTGTATATATACAGATACAGTGTTGGGGTTTTTGGTTTTTTATTTTTATTTATTTATTTATTTATTTATTTATGTTTGGAAACAGAGTCTCACTCTCACCCAGGCTCTAGTGCAGTGGCCCAATCTTGGTTCATTGCAACCTCTGCCTCCTGGGTTCAAATGATCCTCACGCCTCAGCCTCCTAAGTAGCTGGAATTACAGATGCGTGTCACCATACCTGGCTAATTTTTGTATTTTTAGTAGAAATGGGGTTTCACCATGTTGGCCAGGCTGCCCTTGAACTCCTGACTTCAAGGGGTCTGCCTGCCTTCGCCTCCCAAGGATTACAGGCGTGAGCCACTGTGCCTGGCCCAGATAAAGTTTTTTTTATTAGAAAATACAATCATCACACATACTGACCTGCAACCTCCATTTTTCACTTTGCAGTATATCATGACCATGTTTACTTGTCAATATACCTATATAATTTCTTCATTTGAAAAGAAAAACATCAGCCAGGTGTGGTGGCTCATGCCTGTAATCCCAGCACTTTGGAAGAGCGAGGCAGGCGATCATGAGGTCAGGAGATTGAGATCATCCTGGCTAACACAGTGAAATCCTGTCTCTACTAAAAATACAAAAAATTAGCTGGGCATGGTGGCAGGTGCCTGTAGTCCCAACTACTTGGGAGGCTGAGGCACGAGAATCGCTTGAGCCAGGGAGAGCTGAGATCACACTGCTGCGTTCCAGCCTGGGTGACAGAATGAGACGCTGTCTAAAAAACAAAAAGGAACAAACCAAATTAGATAAACTCCCAGTATGATGTAGTAGAGTTCCATTTGCCTATCATTTTCTAAACTAACTTAAATTTCTTCAATATTTTGAAATGACTTTCTAATTTAGTGGCTGATGAATTTAGGGAATGGTGTTCATTTTTTTCTCCCAAGTTGTGGAGCAGAAGAGGAAATGATCAGCAGATTGAACATGTTTTCTGCAGAGATGAGCAACAGGCTGCTTAGAGGCACCAGAATTTCTCTGACCTTGGAGGGGGAAGCTGGGGCTGGGGACAACCAGGCCCACCCCATAGCAGGTCACTTAGGGCCTCTGTTGGCGGTAGACTCCCCAGCTCAGTGCACCTCTGGGCTGGCCCTACATGGCCCCTTCTGTGTGTGCTGGAAGGGTGGAGAGAGAAGAAGATTTTGGCAGGTGGTGAAAGAGGCCTTTTCCCTCTCAGTGTCTTCAGTCTTTGGTATTGAACACAAAGTTCTGCCTTAATTTTTCTTAAATTAGTCCCATGTGGACAGATCACAGGAAGGAAAGAGAAAACTCTTCAATGCCCTTGATATTTTTTTCCCTTTTTATTTGGTACAAATGACCATTCAGTCAGCCAAGTGAGCAAGTGTTTGAGAATCTCAAGAAACCAAATAAACAAAGCAGCTATATTTTGTCTTTTCTGGCAGACTGCAAGGTCGGAATGTGTTCTTTTTTTTTTTTTTTTTGGTGAGAGAGTATTGCTCTGTCACCCAGGCTGGAGTACTGTGGTGCGATCTCGGCTCCCTGCAATCTCCACCTCTCAGGTTCAAGCGATTCTTCTGCCTCAGCCTCCTAGGTAGCTGGGACTACAGGTGCCTGCCACCACACCTGGCTAATTTTTTGTATTTGTAGTAGAGATAGGGTTTCAGTATGTTGGCCAGGCTAGTCTTGAACTCCTGACCTCAAGTGATTCACCCACCTCCCCCTCCCTAAATAGTGAGATTACAGGTGTGAGCCACCTCGCCCTGATGGTAGGAATGTGTTTCTGTAAGCAACATCCATCCAAGCCTTACTTGGGGTGTACGTCCTTTGAGGTGGGCACCTAAGTGGGCGGGGCGGGGCAAGGAGGAGACCAAAGGATGCAGCACACTCAGTTCCTGCGCTGGAGATCCTCTGCTCTAGTCAGGGGCAAAGGAAAATGCTTCTCCCAGGGAGAGCTAAGCAAATACACAGCACTGGGATAAAGTTCTAAATGGGTACCCCTGAACTAACTGACAGAATTACAAGCAACTGGCCGTGCGCCGTGGCTCATGCCTGCAATCCCAGCACTTTAGGAGGCCAAGGCGGGCAGATCACTTGAGATCAGGAGTTCAAAACCAGTGTGGTCAACATGGTGAAAACCTGTCTCTACTGAAAATACAAAAAATTAACTAGGCATGGTGGGTTGCACCCATAGTCCCAGCTACTTGGGAGGCTGAGGCAGGAGAATTGCTTGAACCTGGGAGGCGGAGGTTGCAGTGTGCTAAGATTGTGCCACTGCACTCCAGCCTGGTCAACAGAGCAAGAGTCCATCTAAAAAAAAAAAAAAAAAAAAAAAAGAATTAGAAGCAATTATAGGAAGATCGCTGTGGTTTAGTGGAGGGCAAACAGCTGAGTGAGGACTGAGACAGACCCTAGCAATTGGCATCGAGGGAAAGGAAGCTCGTTCAGTAGATTCACTTCAAGATGTATGTGTAGTGCAGAGCTGAGGTTGGAAAGAGTCCACCTGGGGTTTGGGTAGTGTTATTTTTTATTTTTATTTTTTTTAGAGACAGGATCTAACTCTGTTCCCAAGGCCTGAGTGCAGTGGCACAGTCATGGCTCACTGCAGCCTCAACCTCCTGGGTTCAAGTGATCCTCCTGCCTCAGTCTCCCAAGTAGCTGGGACTACAGGCCCAGGCCACCACGCCCAGCTAGTTTTTTTGTATTTTAGTAGAGATGGGGTTTCACCATGTTGGCCAGGATGGTCTTGACCTCCTGACCTCATGATCTACCCACATTGGCCTCCCAAAGTGCTGGAATTACAGATGTGAACCACTGAGCCAGGCCAAAGGCTGATATTTTAATCATGGGCAAAGATAATACTGAATTGCTCAAGGTTACTTCTGTAAGGCAGACGTAACAGCAGCACCCTGCCTGAGCTTTTATCTTAACACACACAAGTTCTTAGGATGGCGTCTGGTGTGGAACTCACTAGAGTCAACGCTTATCATTTGTTCACTGAATACGTGACTAGGTTGGGGCCAGGTTTGAGGAAGTCTTGCAATCCAGCTGCTATTGAAAGTTTCTGTGTAAAGGAATTTTCTTCATTCAAAAAATAGATGCTGGCCAGGCAAGGTGGCTTATACCTGTGATTCCAGCATTTTGGGAGGCTGAGACAGGAGGATCGCTTGAGCCCCAGAGTTCGAGACCAGCCTGGGCAACATAGTGAGACCTTGTCTCTACAAAACAAACAAAAACTTAGCCAGGCATGGTGGCACACACCTGTTGTCCTAGCTACTTGAGGGGCCTGAGGTGGGAGGAGGGCATGAGCTCAAGAGGGCGAGACCGTAGTGGGCCGCAGCTGCATCAGTGCACTCCAGCCTGGGAAACCACATGAGACCCTGTCTCAAAGAAAGAAAAATTACATATATATTATATATAATACATAAATACACGTATAAATATGTTTTATACAAAAAATGTATTTTCATGTATAAAATATGTAAACAATGTATATTCCATATTCTATATAAAATATATAAACAAAATATATATTAAATATTCCATATAAAATGAATATATTCTCTACAATATATACAAATATATACTGTGTATCTTTTATGCATTCAGTGTAAATATATATATATATTTACATACTTGGCTGAGGCTGAATCCTGAGGTGGCAGGGCCTGGCTTTAGAGCACAGGGAACAACCTGGCAATATAGTGGGATATATAATATTTATAGTATATATTTAATAAATAATATAGTATATCACATATAAATATATAAGCGTATGTTTTATGATATATGAATATATATTGTAAATATATATGAGTAATATATTTTATAATTATGTATTTTATATGTATTTATATGTTAAACACAAATACATATGTGTTTTTACATGTAATACATAATATATATTAATTATTGTTTTTGTTTTTTGAGACTGAGTTTCGCTCTGTCACCCAGGCTGGAGTGCGGTGGTGCTATCTTGGCTCACTGTAACCTCCACCTCCCGGGCTCAAGCGATTCTCCTGCCTCAGCCTCCCGAGTAGCTGGGACTACAGGCGCCTGCCACCACACCCCACTAATTTTTGTATTTTTAGTAGAGACAGGGTTTCCTCATGTTGGCCGGGCTGGTCTCCAACTCCTGACCTTAGTTGATCCACCCACCTCGGCCTCCCAAAGTGCTGGGATTACAGGCATGAGCCACTGTGTTATGTATACAAAGATGTCAGTAAGCATCTTTAGCCTCTCAAATGCTGGAAGAAAACACATCACAATTGCTTGTAGTGATGGGGAAGTTAGTGCAGAAACGCAAGGGGCCAGGAGGTGGCTAAAGCCTTGCTTCTTCAGTGCCCGGTCGCTGTGGGTCCCAGTTTTCCCAGCATGGCTACTTCGCAGATGTCTCAGAACACTAGAGTACTACATAGTTTAGTCTTGTCTGCACTTGGTGGCGTGCATTTATCGAGTCATGTGCTAAGTATTGAGTGCCAACAGTGTACAAGTTGCTCTTACAGGAACTTGGGACCCTGCAGAGAGTGAGATGGATTTGGCCCCTTCTTGAGTGCATCCTGGTTGTAGTGGGGGAGACAAGAGGTGACCCAGGACATCAGATACTTGCAGAAAAGCTGAGAAGTGTAGAAGATGGACTCTTGAAATCCCTTTCATGAGTCCAGTAGAGAAATCAGGAATGGACCCTCTGCAGAGTTGTTGGGGCTGGGACCCATTACACGCCTCTTACCACTTCCCCAGAGAGAGAATTGGCCAGCCAGGTTCTTCATGTGATCTGGAGCCAGATCAGGCCACCTCCTGATTCAGCCTCAGCCATGGCCAGTCCATAGGCAAAAGCCTTTGAAACTCATGGCCACATAAGCTCGTAAGTCCCACCTTTGGGAAGGGTTCCAGCCCCTCTCTTGCTCATCAGGTGAGCTTCAGAGCAGGAGTTTCATGCCCTTGGAATGAGTCTGCCTTCTTTCAAGATAGCAGCAGCCTTGCTGTGTTTGGTTGTCAGCCATGGCAGTGCACACGCTGTATCCCCCACCCCTTCATCTTCCTCTATCTCTAAACCAGAAGAAGGAATCTGTCCTTCAAAACCCCTAAAGACCCCAAGGATAGAAGACTCTGATGGGGACCTCCAGAGTTCCACATTGGGCTGTTTGCATCACCCTGAGGTGCTGGAGGGCAAGCTGGGACCTGTTCGCTCTACACAGCAGCACGGGGAGGAACCAGGAAAGGCGGTCTCCAGGTAGGTGGCTCCGAACATTCCAGCAGTCTCCTCACTGATGGTCCACATAGCACAGCAGCTCAGCAGACAGCAGTACTTTGGGAAGTAGACCCACAACACATCTAGTGCTGTGACCCACTCCCTCCCGGAGCTCAGGGCCCTCGGATCTCACTTCTCCTAGCTTTCCCACTGGTGAGAAGGGTTGGTGTTTTGGCCAGGCGAGGTGGCTCACACCTGTAATCCCAGCACTTTGGGAGGCCAAGGCGGGCAGATCACCTGAGGTCAGGAGTTTGAAACCAGCCTGGCCAACATGGTAAAACCCTGTCTCTACTAAAAATACAAAAATTAGCCAGGTGTGGTGGCACACTTGTAATCCCAGATATGCAGGAGGCTGAGGCAGGAGAATCGACCGAACCCAGGAGGCAGAGATTGCAGCGAGCTGAGATCATGCCACTGCACTCCAGCCTGGGCCACAGAGCGAGGTTCCATCTGAAAAAAAAAAAGAAAAAAAGAAGGGTTGATGTTTTAAATGTGGGCAAAGATAACATTGAAGTTTTCAAGGTTACAGAATTCATATTCTGTATCTCATATTCTGTCTGCTGGTCAAATCCATCCACCTTCCACATTCCTCCTCCTCCGCCTTAAGAAGTGAACAAAGGAGTTATTGGTATGTGAACTAATAAGCAATAAAAAAGAAAAACAATCAGGGGCTGGGCATGATGGGTCATACCTGTAATCCCAGCACTTTGGTAGGCTGTGGGTGGATCACGAGGTCAGGAGTTCAAGACAGCCTGACCAAGATGGTGAAACCCCGTCTCTACTGAAAATACAAAAATTAGCTGGGCATGGTGGTGCATGTCTGTAATCCCAGCTGCTCAGGAGGCTGAGGCAGAATTGCTTGAACTGGGACCTGGGAGGCAGAGGTTGCAGTGAGCCAAGAAGGTGCCACTGTACTTCAGCCTGGGCTACAGAGTGAGACTCGGTCTCAAAAAAAAAAAAAGAAAAGAAAAGAAAAGAAAAACAATCAGGGCTGAGTGCAATGGCTCATGCCTGTAATCCCAGCACTTTGGGAGGTTGAGGCAAGAGGATCGCTTGAGCTCAGGAGTTTGAGAGGAGCCTGTGTAACAGCGAGGATGACCCCATATCCACAAGAAATAAAATAATTAGCCAAAACAAAACAATATGTATGTCCATATTTATTTAATTTTTTTTTTTTTGAGACAGGGCCTTGTTTTGTCACCCAAGCTGGAGTGCAATTGTGCCATCCCGGCTCACTGTAACCTCCACCTCAAGTTTAAGCAGTTCTCTTGTCAGCCTCCCGAGAGGCTGGGATTACAGGCATGCACCACCACACCTGACTAATTTTTGTATTTTTAGTGGAGATGGGGTTTCACCATGTCCTCAAATTCCTAACTTCAAGTGATCTGCCCACCTTGGCCTCCCAAAGTGCTGGGATCACAGATGTGAGCCACTGCACCCGGCCCATGTTTATTTAAATATAACCCTAAGTTTCACTAGTTTTTAGAGACACTATGTTTCTTGCATCCACAATTTTCTCTCCCTAGAATGTGCTGTGTCAGGGCTGGAGTGCCTGTCCAAATAAGAATATCCCTCTTCCCAGCTCAGTAGGCAATTCCTGGGATTATAAGAGCAGTGTATTCTCCAGGTGGGACTCTGTACCCTCCTTGCCAGTTAAATGTTCTCAGGTCACTGCTTCTCTATCTCCATCCCACCTTTTTAAAGCAGGTTTTCCAGGGCCTTCCATCTAGCAGACTTTTTTTTTTTTTTTTTTTTTGAGAGGGTCTTGCTCTGTCACCCAGGCTGGAGTGCAGTGGCGTGATCATAGCTCACTGCAGCCTCAGACTTCCCTGGCTCAGATGATCCCCCCATCTCAGCCTCCCAAGTAGCTGGGACCACAGGCACATACCACTATATCCAGCTAATTTTTAAATTTTTTGTAGAAATGGGGTCTCACTATGTTGCCCAACCTGGTCTTGAACTCCTGGGCCTCCACCTGCCTCAGCCTCCCACAGTGCTGAGATTAAAGGCATGAGCCACTTTGTCCAGGCTAGGAGACTGTTAGCACCAGTTTCCTCTTGGATTTGTTTTGCGTTTGTCTTAATATGTGAGACACAGCCTAGGAGGACTTCAGATCCCCCTCAGTTTTCTCTTTTCCTACATAGCTCCCCCAACGAGGAAACAGGAGCTCCCTGCAGGCTCCTCCATCAACCAGAAAAGGAGCCAGCTCCCCTTCCTCCTTCCCAGGTGAGCCTGTCCTGTGGCCTCGTGGATGTAGAAGCCTCCCTTAAAGTTCCGGCTCTGTGTCTCCCTTCATTGTCAGCAACTGCTCACTCACCGTCTACAGGGGCTGGAGGGAAGGTGCCTGGAGGGCAAGGGCAGAGTTCTCTGAGGCTATAAGAAAGGAACATTTCAGGGTTGCTTTCTTCCTGAGACCTCATTCCTCCCTTATCTTGACTGCCACTTTGTTCTTTTTGTATCCGGTTTACAGAACTCAGTTGGGAGGTTTGTTCCCCAGTTTGCAAAATCCAGGAAGACAGTGCCAAAAACAGGAGGGATGAAGGATGAGGACCTCGGGAGTGGGCCCTTTAGCCTGGTAAGCCTCTAAAATCAGCCAGGCTGAGCCCAGCACATGTGCAGCCTCCTGGCCCAGCCCCGGCAGCCCCGTTTAACCCTGAAGTTCTTTGGCAAATGGGGAGGCCTGCACCTCTCCACCCGCTGTTGTCAGTACATTGCGCTATGGATGTGTGTTGAGTATGCAACAATTCTAATGCCTGTTGCAGGCATTCAGGACGCCTGCATTTGCACCTCCAGGGTCAAGGCCAGAGCCGCCTTCTCCAGGTTTCATGGAAATAGTAAAAATTCAGAAAGGCGTGATGTGCCAATTAACAATATTTTATTTTATTTATTTTTTAATTTTAATTTTTTTTTGAGACAGAGTCTTGCACTGTTGCCCAGACTATAGTGCAGTGGCGGGATCTCTGCTCACTGCAATCTCTGCCCCCAGGGTTCAAACAAGCCTCCTGCCTTGGCCTCCCGAGTAGCCGGGACTATAGGCATGCGCCACCACGCCCAGCTCATTTTTTTTGTATTTTTAGTAGAGACGAGATTTCACCATGTTGGCCAGGATGGTCTCCATCTCCTGACCTCATGATCCACCCACCTCGGCCTCCCAAAGTGCTGGGATTACAGGCGTGAGCCACCACACCTGGTGGCCTGTTTTATTTATTTATTTTTCTTTTTTGACCCACATCACAGAAATATTTATTTTTAATTTTTATATTTTGAGACGGAGTCTCACTCTGTCGCTCAGGCTGGAGTGCAGTGGCGCAATGTTGGCTCACTGCAGCCTTCATCTCCTGGGTTCAAGCTATTCTCTTCCTGCTCAGCCTCCCAAGGACCTGGGACTACAGGCATGTACCACCACGCCTGGCTAATTTTTGTATTATTAGTAGAGACCCGGTTTTGCTATGTTGGCCAGGCTGATCTTGAATGCCTGACCTCAAGTGATCCACCTGCCTTGGTCTCCCAAAGTGATGGGATTACTGGCGTGAGCCACCACACCCAGCCTTACTACAATTTTTTTAAACACACAAAATTGTACAGAGTGAAGTTCCAATGTTCTCCCTTCTGGCTTCCACCAGTGGTAACACTGTGCATAGCTACAGTCCATCACCAAAACTAGCAACTGGCCAGGTGCAGTGGCTCTTGCCTGTGATCCCAGCATTTTGGGACTTCCCTTGACCAGCCTGAGCAACATGGCAAGACTCCGTCTCTACAATAATTTTTTTTTGAGATGGATGGAGTATCGCTTATCGCCCGAGCTGGAGTACAGTGGGGCAATCTCAGCTCACTACAGCCTCCACCTCCCAGGTTCAAGTGATTCTCCTGCCTCAGCCTCCCCAGTAGCTGGGACTACAGGTGTGTACCACCATACCTGGCTTATTTTTGTATTTTTAGTAGAGATGGGGTTTCACCCTGTTGGCCAGGCTGATCTTGAACTGACCTCAAGTGATCCACCTGCCTCAGCCTCCCAAAGTGCTGGGATTATAGGCATGAGTCATTTGGCCCAGTCAGTTTTTGGCATTAAAAGTAATGACAAAACCCACAGTTACTTTTGGGGCAATCTAATAGAAAACTCTTCAGAGAACTTGGTTATCAAAGGCCCTGGGGCTGAGTCTTTTTCTCTCCACAGGAAACACTGCCAGAGTCCAGCGCCCAGCAGGCAGGATGCCAGCCGCTAGTGGAGACTCTGGGGCTCCCCCTCCAGGAGGCCACAGAGCCAGGGGACCCAATGCAGGCAGACGGTGCCCACCCTAAGCAGAGCAGCCAGAGCCCCGTGAAAGCTGTGTCCAGCAGTGGGGATTCTCAGCCTGAGGACCCTCCAGGCAGGGGGACGGGGTGGTCCACCTCACAGAGGGCCAGCCAGGACCACCTGTTAGAACAAGGGACCGACGATAGCAGGCCTGAGACAGAGAGGGCTCCCGGTGATCGTGGCCAAAAGGAACACCTGCCAGGCAGCGATTCTGAGGGGAAGGAGCCAGACAGAGGAGCCCCCCAGGAGGGAGGAGCCCAAAGGACAGCAGGGGCTGGCCTGCCTGGAGGGCCCCAGGAGGAGGGAGGCGATGTCCCCTGCGCCCTAGCGTCAGTTCCTACCTCGGGCTCTGCTTTGGGACTTGGCCCTACCTCTTGGTGTCTGGAACCCAGGTCTGTGGCCCAGGGCTCCCCTGACTCCCAGCAGACCCCCAGCAGGATGGGCAGGGAAAGGGAAGGGACTCATAGAAGCCTGGAATGCTCATCCCTTGGGATGGGTGTCATCACAGACCTGAGCACAGACCCCACTGAGCTGGAAGAGAAGGCTCTGGAGGTGGCTGGGCCTGACAGGCAGGTCTGCGCCATGTCACCTGCCTCTCCCGAGAGGAAGGCCGCTGATGGAGGCCACGGGAGAGCCCTGCCAGGCTGCAGCCCACTCACTGGGGAAACCACCAGAGGGAGAGGTGAGGCAGGACAGGACGACAACCCCCCGGATGACGTCCCAGTGGGCCCTGCAGCCTCCCTGGTTCTGGCACCTGGGAGCGGACAGCCCATGATGGGGGCTGGAGATTCCGGCCATCCAGCCCTGGACACAGGTCCACGTGTCGGCCAGAAGCAGGAGCCAGGCCCTGCTCAAGAGGCAGCCGAGTCAGGCAGCCAGAACCTTGAACAAGACCTCGAGGGGCTCATTCTGTCCCCACAAGCCTCTGTTCTGCTGGAACACAAAGAAGCAGCAGACGGCCCTCTTCAGGAGCCTGGGACCCAGCAGAGCGGTCCAGACACCACCTTGGACCTGGCAGGGCAGCAAGACCACCTGCCTCATTCTGCAGACGAGGCCACCTGGGCAGACTCTTCAGCTGTGGAACTCGACTTCCTGCCAGACAGCCAGATACAGGATGCCCTGGATGCCTCTGACTTCGAAGCCCCACCTGAGCAGGTGAGAGCTGCCCTGAGTGACAGACATACCTGCCCAGGGCAGGTACCCAACATCCACAAGCCCCCTCCTCACACAGCGCAGTGGTGGAGGGGGAGCTGGGGTTCATGGCGTTCCATTTACACAACCACTGACAAGGAGTTGCAGCTCTAGTGGGTGTGGTTTTCCAGAAAGTGCAGACCTGCCTTTTGGTGGTTGTTGACACATCCAGGGTGGTGACAGAAAGCTGCATTCTCAGCCAGGGCCTCCTGCATTGAACTGGAGTTCCCAGGAATCCCAGCCCCTGGCAGCTTCCGCTTCAGTGCTTGACCCTGGCCATGGGGTCTCAGGAGATGTGTTGAGGGCTGTGGACACAGCAGGGCCTGGGGAGAAGCTGGGCCTGGGGAGGGGGCTTCACTCCCAAGCTGCCAAAGAGGCTTTGCCCATCTCCTTAGGGTCCTCTGAGGATCCTGATATGATTCTTTCCCAAACATACCTAAGTAATTTGGTTTTTCTGCCAGAACTTGTAAGGGCTTTCCCTCCTTCAGGGATCTGCCCCCCAGCAGCGCTGCCCGGATGTGGCCTTCTCTGGCTCCAGAGCCAGTGCCAGCCGTTGGCGCTCGTTCTCCTGTCTGGGCAGGTGGCAGCCTTGCTTCAGCCCTGCCCCCAGGGGAAAAGCGACCTCCCCAGCCGTTGGCACGCCTGAGCCTGGGCTGAGGGCTTCACAGCCACGCCCTGGGAGGTAGGCGGTTCTCTGTGCACACACTGGGTGTGGCAGCGAAGACTCTGGAGTTCCTGCGCCTGCCGGAGGTGGGGTAGGCAGGAGGGGAGGAGGTCATGCCCAGCCGCCGTGTCCTGGAACACAGAGCTCGATTTGCTTTTCAGATGTCAGCTTCTGTTTCTTTGGCTGTCCTTGTGTTCAGATGTTTAAAAAAAAAAAAAAATTCATGGCCAGCCACAGTGGCTCCCACCTGTTACCCTAGCACTTTGGGAGGCCAAGGCAGGTGGATCACCTGAGGTCAGGAGTTTGAGACCAGCCTGACCAAATGTGGAGAAACCCCATCTCGACTAAAAATATAAAAAATTAGCCAGGTGTGGTAGCGTATGTCTGTAATCCCAGCTACTTGGGAGGTTGAGGCAGAAGGATCGCTTGAACCCAGGAGGTGGAGGTTGCCGTGAGCTAAGATCACACCATTGCACTCCAGCCTGGGCGACAAGAGCGAAACTGTATCTCAAAAAAAAAAAAAATTAGCTGGGCTTAGGGGTGCACGGGTGCAGTCCCAGCTACTTGAGAGGTTGAGGAGGGAGAATCACTTGAGCCCAGGAGGTTGAGATTGCAGTGAGCTGAGTCATGCCACTGTACTGCAGCCTGGGGAATGTGGGGAAACCCTGTCTCAAAAAAAAAAAAAAAAGGCCGGGCGCAGTGGCTCAAGCCTGTAATCCCAGCACTTTGGGAGGCCGAGGCGGGTGGATCACGAGGTCAAGAGATCGAGACCATCCTGGTCAACATGGTGAAACCCCGTCTCTACCAAAAATACAAAAAATTAGCTGGGCATGGTGGTGCGTGCCTGTAATCCCAGCTACTCAGGAGGCTGAGGCAGGAGAATTGCCTGAACCCAGGAGGCGGAGGTTGCGGTGAGCCGAGAGCGTGCCATTGCCCTCCAGCCTGGGAAACAAGAGCGAAACTCCATCTCTTGGGAAAAAAAAACAAAAAAAAACAATGGGAGTCACAGTGCAGTTCAGTGGTAGAGCCTGAACACGAGCACATGGGAAAGGCAGGAGTTCAGGTGCTGAGCTCAGCTGAAATTTTATGAGCCTCACACCTGAAAAATGCAGATCCCTAGCTCAAGAGCAGAGCCGCCTCCAATGCCTGCAGTCTGTGCTCTTGTGGGCAGTGGCTTGGAGAAGGCTGGGGAATGATTAGGGTGTTTGGGGCCAAGTGTGCCAAGGTGGCATCTAGCAGGTGAAGCCCGAGCCCTCCTAAATGGGCTGCCAAACTTCGAGTTTGGAAAAAGACCCTGAAATCCAGACTCAGGGGGACCCCGACAGACAGCCAGGGTAGTCAGACCTGACCAGCATCAGCAGCCTTTCCCCGGCCAGGGGAGGAGGCCCCGCTTGACAGCACTGCCAGGGCCTGGGCGTGTTTGGTTTTGACACCAGGCGTTCCCCAGCAAGTCAAGGCGACCCAGGCAAGGAACACATTCCCGTGGGAAGGTTCTGGGCGGCTCCTGGCAGGAAGGCTGAGGCCAGTGTCTCCCGGCGTGGGCAGGGGCACCCAGGCACAGCAAACACGGGTCATGAGGACCATCTCAGTGCCTCCTCCTGACCTTACTGTGGTCACACACTGTGCTAGAGGAGGGGACTCGGAGGGACACAGCAGAGACAGCTTTCAAACCTCAAACCGCAAGGTCTTGTCACGGGAGGGTGTGCTGTTACCGTCTCATAGCTCCTCTGCACGTGCTCCTCGACCGGTGGAGCCTCTGCAGTCTGCGTATGGAGTCATTTAATTTATTTTTTTATTTTTATTTTTTTCATGATCTGTGGTTTTCTTTTTAATTATCTTGTCTTATGATCACACATAATTTTTAAATTTGTGTGTATCTCCTCTACTTTAATCGTTTTAAGTTGGCAAAAGCACCATTCCCAATCACAAATACACAGCAGTTGTACGGTTTTGTTTCTGAATGGCTGTTTAAAGACAATCCTAAATTACAACTTACTTTGACTTAGATTGTAAAGAATTCAAGTGAATTTTAATTGGATACTATAAAGACAATCCTAAATTATAACTTAGTTTGACTTAGATTATAAAGAATTCAAGAGTGAAGTTTAATTGGCTGCTATTTTAAAAGAATGTGACCTTATAGATCATCTATAAAATGTGTGAAGTGTTAAGTAATTTTTGATATTACACATAGCCCACACTAAAATGCTTTTCAGTAAGTGAAAACTAAAATGCCTTTTGATAAGTAAAAACCATTGTAAATACAGGGAATTCTAATTGGATTGGCATAGTTAAGGCCAAAACATAAAGTAACCATTGCTACCTCTTTGTCTTCAACCCTTGCCTTTAAGAGGCAAATGAACACAAAACACAGGTGAACCTTGCTTGGTTCTGAGACGGTGAAGGAATTTCCCCCATATTTAAATATATTCACATAACCAGTTACATAAATCTAAACATAAAACCAATCTCCAGTAAGTTTTAAGATGGCACTCACCATCTGTGAAAAGTTTAACATTCCTAACGAAGTCTAATCATATCTTTAGAAGGGATAAACAGTGATAGCATTTACTAAATTGGAATTACTATTAAAATTCAAAAATTGAACATACTTATTTAACCACAAGCCAGTCTTAGTTTTAAATCAGGACTGCCCAACAAAATATTCTATCATTCATTCATCATGTAAATTCTGGTGTATGAGATCTATTAAAGTATGGTACACATAAAGTCATGAGACGTGTGTATGCACACATAAATAAGGCAGAGTACCAGACAAAGTATGGTACACATCAATCAGGCAGTGGCCAATTGTTACTCATTAGTAACTTTTCTGAGATAAGCTATCAAGTCTGCCCTTTCTCCCTTCTTCTTAATGCCGGCAAAGATCACTTTTGTTCCAGGGATGTACTTCATGGGATTCTCCAAATACTCCGTCAGTGTATCCTCTCCCCAGGTGATGCCTGTGTTCTTATTGGCGTCAGTGTAAGAGAATCCCGCGGCCCAACCTGTCTTCCGCCCAAAGATACCATGGAGATTAGGCCCATTCTCGTGCTTGCCTCCCTTTTCCACAGTGTGGCCCTGGGAACACTTCTGAACACAAATTTTCTTGCCTTTCTCAACATCACCCATATTTAATTCTCATTTTTTGTTGCTGGCGCAACAAAGGTTACCGCTGGGAAGCCAGACATCCCACTGTCTCGGAGTCATTTAATTTAATTTAAATTTTGGAGACAGGGCCTTGCTGTGTTGCCCAGGCTGGAGTGCAGCGGCACAATCACAGCTCACTGCAGCCTCAGCCTCCCGCGCTCCTGCCTCAGCCTTCCGAGTAGCTGGGACCACAGGCATGTGCCACCATGACCAGCTAATTTTTGTATTTTTTTGTAGAGACAGGGTCTCGCCATGTGGCGCAGGCTGGTCTAGAACTCTTGGTCTCAATCCCCCCACCTCAGCCTCCCAAAGTTCTGGGATTACAGGCATGAGCCACCACGCCCAGAGTGGCTCATTGTAGGTCACCACTGTGATGGAGCTTGACAATTTCCAATAGAAATTAAACCGCCCTTGGAGTTACCTGGCTTTCCCCTGTATTCACTGGGACTTTCCCCCTCGTGTTGTATTTGCAGACTCTTTTCCTAACGGGATGTGCGTGGCTTATTCAGCCAAGGTAGACGACTCACTTCACTGCACTTGCCACTCCTTGGCGTTTTCTCTGTACCTGCAGGAGACTGCAGCGATGTCAGGGCCAGAGAACTCACGGCACAGTGGGGCTCCCCACTGCTCAGATCAGCCTGTGGGAGTTCCGGGCCCAGGAGCGGACACCAAGGTTGGGTTTGGCATTGCTGTGGCCTTTTTCTTTCTGAGGGGAAAGGGCAGGCACGGCCCAGGCTGGTAGCCCCGGGTCTCCCCATCGCAGAGCTCCTCCCTGGTCCTTCTCTTCCTCTGCAGGAGCCCCAGCTGCCCCCCGTGTGACCTGCTGTGGCCACGGTGAAGCCAGAGGTGCCAGTATGACTAACTAACGGTTCCCCCGTGCAGAGCTTGCCCAGCCCGGCCCGGCTGCTCACTCCTTGTGCTCTCTTTCCAGCTCTTTCCTTCGGGGAGCAAGCCGGGCCCTTGCTGGCCTGGCCCCAGCCCACACGCCAGTGAAGACCCTGTTGCAGTGACCAGGGCCCAGCCGAGGTAGGTGCGGGGTGGGGGAGAAGGGGCTCCAGGACCCTCACCAATTTTACCACAGAGGGTGACAGACGGAGGGACCTCAGTTCTCCCTCCCTAGGCCTCGACTTCCTCATTCCAACAGGGGAGCTGAGCCCTGTCTTTTAAACTGCACACGTTCCCCTGATTCCCAAAAGCAGAGGAACAGGCTACAGTGACCAGTGATGGGCACCCAAACAGTGCCTCCCCAGGAGCCCTGGGATAGTGCCCCTGGCTCTGTGGGTTGTTTCTCTCTGGGAGGAGGGGCCAGAGCTTCCTCCTGAGTCTCTGGGAAGGGGAGGGGACCCAGACAGGGCTCAGAGCCAGTGGCTGAGACCGTCTTGGAGCTGTTACTAGCTCTGGCACCAGGCGGGTGTTGGAGTGACTCTAACCTGCCCTCACCTCCTCCCTCCCCACTTGGCTCCTGCCCCAGGTGATGCACTTCCTCCCACAGGCTGAGCCTGCTCCAGTCTCCTGTGTGTGAGGAGGGCCCTCTCCCCTACACCATGCCCAGGGTCCCTGCAGCTTGTCCCCTCCTCCGCTGCCCTCCCGCAGCCCTCCTCGCAGCCAGCACTGGGCAGCCAGCCACCTTTTGTGTTACCTGGTACTTGAACCTGCCTCTTTGCAGAGGCAGTGGCTCATCAATTATTTATGGCCAAGTTTCTGTTTCTGTCTGGTGGGGGGAGGGGCGTGGGGGTGGAGGAGGGTTTTTTGGGACTCAGCCCTTGGCTGTGGCCCTTACTCTGCCCTTCCCCCTTCCCTTCCCCCCTCCCCTTCCCCCCTCCTCCCCCTCCTCCTGCTCCTCTTCCTCTCCCTCGAAGCAGAGGGTGGCTCTGTCCCCCCCTCCTGCCCTCACTCCCTGGGACTTGCACCTGCTGTGCCACTGGCCGCCTCCCCCATCCACACACACAACCTGCGTGTGGACCAGTGGCAGTTCATCAGAGCGGGCCGCTGTGGTTTGAGTGAATGGCAGGAAGATTTCACATCTGGGCCAGTACAGCTCCCCTCCCCACCGCCCTGGATGTCTGGAAGCTCCCAGAGGGTCCTGGGGTCTGGTTTGGTGGCTTAAGGCTGAATGACACACACAAGAGGCTAAGGCCCAGAGGCTGCCAGCCACCTCGGAGTGACCAAGGCAGGAGGAGCAGGACAGCAGTTTCCAAAGTGGCAGTCCCAGAGGTGCTGCCAAGCCTAGGGCATGGGCGGGTTTAGGGTGGGTGACTCCCACTTCCCCACCTGCCCCCTGCGGTGCCTGTGTCTGAGTGGCAGCTGTTCTATGGCTCCTCTGCTCTGCTCTTCCGTGGTTTTTTTTCTTATTTGAGACACCGTCTTGCTCCCATCACCAGGTTGGGGTGCAGTGGCACAACCTCAGCTCGCTGCAGCCTCTCCTGGGCTCACTTGTGTGATTCTCCAACTTCAGCCTCTTAAGTAGCTGAGACTACAGGTGGTCGCACACAAAATTAGCCCATTACCATACCCGACTAATTTTGTATATTTTTTTAGAGATGAGATTTTGCCATGGTGACATTACAGGCACGAGCCACAGTGCCTGACGGTATATTTTTGATATAGAATCTTGCTCTGTTGCCCAGGCTGGTGTGTGGTGGTGTGATCATAGCTTACTATAGCCTCCATCTCCCGGGCTCAAGTGATCCTCCCACTTCATCCTCCTGAGTTGCTGGGACTACAGGCATGCACCACCACGCCTGGCCAATTTTGTATTATTTGTAGAGATGGGGTCTCACTATGTTGCCAAGGCTGGTTCTGAACTCCTGGGCTCAGGCCATCCTCCCGCCCCGGCCTCCCAAACCTTCCATGGATATGAATGCCATCTGGGGCCAGCTTTTCTGGCACTGCCCTGGGTGCTGGTGAGGCAGTGTGGGAAAACAGAGTTTGGTGCTAGTGGGGGATTCAGGGTGTGGGGACATGAGAGACAGAGAGCAGATTAGATGATCAGATGGCAGAGTGCTGGGGAGAAAAAGGCAGCAGAGAAGGAGTTAAAATGTAAGGGGTGCTCAGGGGAGCCACTGCCCATCCCCCACCACAGAGGAGGAGACTTCAGGAAAAGCACATTCCACTGTCTTGAGTGAGAGGTGCTCCAGGAATGGCCAGGACTCCAGTGTGGCTCGAGCAGGGGGGAGGGGAGAAGGGGGGATGAGGAGAGGGCACGGGGCAGGCAGGTGGTGCAGGGTCTGAGGGGTGGACCACCAGGAGGGGAGGGCCTGCCTCTGAGCCAGGTTTCCACATTCAGTGCCCGGTGCATGCGGGGAGCAAGAGGGCAGGGGGAGGCAGGGGAGAGAAGGGGCTGAGTCCTGCTGGGCTGTGGAGCCAGCTGAGTTGGCCGTCAGGGCTCTGTCGTGAACAGAGGACAGGCTGGACACCTAGAAAGGCCGGCGTGAGGCCAGCGGAAGCCCCTCCTACTGGAGAGCTCTGGTAGTCCGGTGAGGCTGGGCCACTTTCAACTTCTTCCCTGCTTCTTCCCTGCCTGCCAGGACCTTCGTGGGGATCCAGGCCTGTGAGGCCCCCAGGATGGAGGACGCCACCAACATCGTGCGTGGCCTCATCGTTGAGCTCTCCAACCTGAAGTATGGGGTGGGCTTGGACTCACAGGGCACGGGGGCTGCGGGAGGCCAGTGGGGACCCAGAGGAGCAGGGAGGGACTGAAGCGCAAAGCGCCTGGGCGGGTGGCGAGGGTCAGGCACCCCACTGCCGCTGGGCCCTCGGCAGCCCCCTCTCCGCTGTCCTTTGTGGAACATGGGCTCTGAAGGGCTGGAACAGGCCCAGCCTGTGCTGCCACACGCGTTCTGGTTGTGTGCACATGTGTGAGCTGTGTGTGCACCTCTGAGTCATCAGTGACCATGTGACTGTGAGGTGCAGCCCCCCTCTGTCACTTGGTGACCGCTGAGCCCCACACACGTGCCTGTTTCCCCAAAGCCGGCTGATCATGGGCACCCACCGGGACCTGGAAGCCTTCAAACGCCTCAACTACAGGAAGACAAAGCCGGGAGGCAAAGCCCACTGCCTTACCCTTCAAAGGGGCCTGGGGATGTCCCTCGAGGGGACCAACCCTGGAGGGAGTTGTCGGCGGCTCTGAGGTCTTTTTCCTTTGCCACCCAGCCCCCATGCCTGTGGGCCCCCATGGGTGACCTGATAGTTTTGATCTCCTCCAAGATACTCCCAGGGGTCCTAACGGACCCCACAAACCCCCTTTAGTTGCCCGGAAGTTGGTCTCTAATGGACCACACAAAGGAGGCCCTGAGGTCCTCGCCTGGCCAGGGTCAAGGTCAGCAGCCCCCTTTGGCTTCAGGCAGGCCTGAACTCTAGGAAGCCCGCCATGGCCGCCTCCAAGCAGGGCGCATCCTGTTGGGAGTTGCAAATGTTAGGCTCCTGAGTCAAGGTTATGGAAGGTTCAGAATTTGTTTCTTTCCTGGAGAAGAGAGCTCCCTTTGTTTTCTTTCTCCTGATTTCCATTTTATTTCTTCTGGGAAGACCCATAATAAATGATTCTGTAATGAGGCCCCATGTGGTGTTTGGGGCTGAGCCTTCAGTTCCTTCACATTCTGCCCACAAACCTTCTACCCTCTTCCTCCTCCCCCCACCCTCTGCGAGTTTTATGCCTCAGCTCCCCTGGGAAAGCAAGGGGGGTCGAGTCTCCAGGGCCAGGTGACCGTGTGCCGGTGTCTATGCAGGCCCTTGAGCACTCACGCAGGTACCTGTGGAGCGGAAGCCGAAGAGACGGCCTGGCGATCAGCAGGCTGCAGGGTTTGAGTCCAGCGCTCGGGTGGCCTGGCCCTCACCGGACAAGCTGCCTGCAGGCCCGAGCCAGGAAGGGGGCCATCCTGGGAGGTTGTTATGATGCAAACACAGCCAGAGGCGTGCTTCCCCTCATCCCACGCAAGCCTCACAACAGCCAGATGACAATCCTGTAGCAGCCATCGGTGCTGCTGTCACTCCCGGCTTACAGCAAACTATGCCTCTGTGAAACCTGTCACGGAAAGGCTGACTGGACCTTTGCCATCATGAAGCACTCGATGACTCCTGCTCTCCAGCTCCCACAGCTCAAGCAGGATCTGCTTCCCGCCCTGTGATCTTACACCCTGGTGACCCAATGCAGGAGGGGAGGAAAGAGCAGGGCGGGTATGAGCCCCTGCCCTCCAGGACATGCCTGCCTCGGTGTGAGCCCAGTCCCCCAGGTCTCCTCTCCTCTTCCCCCTCCCTCCTCCCCTCCAAGCCCCAGCTGTCTGCAAAGGCCCACCCCCATCCCCAGGGCCTCTGGTTCCAGTTCAAGTCGGAAAGCCTCCTGCTCCCCGCCCAGACCGCAGGAGGCTGTGTGGGCCCAGCGCCCAGACCCCAGGCCGGTTTGTGGACCGAGTAGAATGTGGACTGCACAGTGGGCACTCTGGTTTCCTAAGCACTGCCACCTGTCACCCCAGCAGTACAAGATCTGGGGCGGAGGAGGCAGGCAGGGGTGTGGGGATTCCCTCACATGCAACTCCCCATCCCCCTACCCTGCCAGGGTAACAGAGCCCCATTTTTCTCCCGCTCCTGCCCAAACCTACCCAGGCCCCCACCCCTGCCCAACCCCCAGGACATGGTCCCATTCTCTGCCCCCTAAGTGTCCCTCCCTTGCTCTAAACTGCTCGGCTTCTCACTGGTATATCCATAACATACACATTCACCTTCCTTCATAAGGAGGATGGGGGGGGGTCTCTGTCTAGCTGTCCCTCAATTTCTTCCTCAAATGAAGCCCCCACCTCCAGTACAGGGCTGGGGGTGAGATGGGGAGAGTCCACCCATCTTACATGTCAGTGCAGGGGGTGGCTGGAGGGGAGTTTGGAAAGACCAAATGTCTACAGAAAGGGTCTCATGATCTCAATCTGGCTTTGAGGTGCTGGAACCCATCCCCCAGGCTACCCCAAGGTTTCTCTGCACAAAGTAGCCCACCCTGGCACCTCAGGATCCCGGAATTCAGAGAACAAGGGGAGATCTGGGTACAGGATTCCCAGCAAGGTTCACACTACACCTTGTCCCAAGACCAGGCCTTGTCCGTCGCTGATCCATAAATAAGCATTTATTGAGTGCTGACTGGCTGCCCAGCGTCCAGGAGATGGCAGCTGTGGGCAGAACACACCATGGCAGAAAGGGCGGGGCGATTTCAGCTGTTCCTTCGCCAACCCCAGACAGCACCTGCGTCCCAGGGATCAAGCCCAAACTGGGGGAAGGGTCTGGGAGTAGGGACGGTCCTCCTAAGGTGATCTTCCTGGAAATTCAGCAGAGGCCAGGTGCCCTTCCCCCGGTGTAGGCGGCCTCCCCGCACCGGCCTCCTAGGTGGACATGGAAGGAGAGCCGGAGGAGGGCGAAGGCTCAGACTTCCCGGCACCTCTGAAACCTGGCGGAGGAGGAGGGAGAGAAATGCTTAATCATAGGCGATGACTCAGTGCTCCCCACGTTACCCAAGGACTCGGCCTCCGGGGCTGCCGGGGCTTTGGCGCCACCCAGGGGCTGCTCCGGAGACAGCGACCCCGTTACGTCCGCGGCTCCGTCGGGAGGCCCCGCCAGGACCCAGAGCTGAGACAAAGCGCAGGAGTTCCCATTCCGCGACCATGCTGCCCTCTCGTGGCCGCCGTGCTCTGGGCTCCCCCAGAAGTTAACCAGGGAGGCCGGCCGCGGGCAGCCTTTCTGTGCCAATGCGGTGGTGGGGGCTCCCCCGGCCCCGGCCTCTAAGCCCAGGGAAGCAAGTTTTCCTACTACCTACGGCTTAAAGGGAAAAACGGAAAATTCTGACACCATCTTCTCTATGTCCTTTTAGCCTCCAGCATCTCCCAGCGGGACCGCATCAGCATCAAACCTCACAGGGAACACTGTCTTCTCCCAGAGGCAGTCTTTCATACTTTTGTTTTGGTTTTTTTGAGACAAGAGTCTTGCTCTGTCGGCCCACTGCAACCTCCACCTCCCGGTTCAAGTGATTCTCCTGCCTCAGCTTCTCAAGTAGCTGGGTTTACAGGTGCGCGCCACCACGGCAGGGCAATTTTTGTATTTTTAGTAGAGACGGGTTTCACCATGTTAGTCAGGCTGGTCTTGAACTCCCAACCTCGTGATTTGCCCGCCTTGGCCTCCCAAAGTGCTGAGATTACAGATGTGAGCCACCGCGCCCGGTCAGTTCTTCTTTCTGTATCTGTAATAACCAGCTGGGCGCAGTGGCTCCTGCCTATAATCCCAGCACTTCGGGAGGCCGAGGCAGGCAGATCACTTGAGGTCAGGAGTTTAAGATCAGCCTGGCCAACATGGTGAAACACTGTTTCTACTAAAAATGCCCCCCAAAATCAGCCAGGCATGGTGGTGCATGCCTGTAATTCCAGCTTCTCGGGAGGCTGAGGCAGAAAAATTGCTTGAACCCAGGAGGCAGAGGTTGCAATGAGCTGAGATAGCAGCACTGAACTCTAGCCTGGGTGACAAAGTGAGACTCCATCCCAAAAAAAATAAAAATAAAAAAATAAGTAAGTAAAAATAAAATCATAAAAGTCTTTTTTGCGGGCTGGGCACTGTGGCTCACACCTGTAATCCCAGCACTTTGGGAGGCCAAGGTGGGCTGATCACCTGAGGTCAGGAGTTCAAGACCAGCCTGGCCAACATAGTGAAACCCCGTCTCTACTAGAAGTACAAAAAATAGCCGGGTGTGGTGTCTGGGGCCTGTAATCCCAGCTACTCAGGAAGCTGAGGCTGAAGAATTGCTTGAACCCAGGAGACGGAGGTTGCAGTGAGCCGAGATCACACCATTGCACTCCAGCCTGGGGCAGACAAGAGCGAGACTCATCTAAAAAATAGTAATAATAAATAATAAAATAAACTGCTGTTCTAAGCTCTCCCCACCTTCCTCCCCCAACGGTTGGAGGAAGGTACTGGGGCTAATTTTACTTCACAGAGGGCTCAGCCCCTACCCTGGGACAGGTCCCCCCCCCAGCCACCTGTGCAGGCACCTGCTCCTCCTCCTCGGCGGTGGCCTGAGTCCTGTGTCTTCGCCTTGTCAGGCCGGACCAGCTTCTTGCCCGCCGAGTTTCGGGTTGTGTGGCTGTAGACGGAGGTGTAGCCCTGGCCGGTGAGCGGGCAGAAGCGTCGGGTGTGGGCGCGCTCACGCGTGGCGCCACACTGGGGGCACACGTAGTCCCGCAGGATGGGACACAGCACCCTGCCAGCCTCGTCCTTCAGCACGTGGGACAGGTAGATGGCCCGGGACTCCCCGTTGTGTTTGCAGAAAGAACACAGGCGTTCGGGAGCTGGCGAGGGCTCCAGGCAGTGCTTCTCCTCCTGGGGTCCTGGTGTTGGCACCGGCTCTGGCACTGGCTCCTCTGGCTCTGGCTGGGGGTTCAGCCTAGTCTCAGGCCCCTCTTTCCCACTCAGAGCCCTAACCAGGCCTGCCAAACCCAGGTAATCTGTCCACAGGTCAAAGGTCCCCATAGCTGGGAGACACAGCGACAAGAAACCCTGCCTGGCCCACGCTCCCGCCTTCTGTCCCTCTCTGCTGCCCCTTCCTTCCCCTCTCCGGAGCCTGGGAGTCTGGGCTGGCCGACCCTCCTTTTACTTCCAAGTGGGTGTGAAGAGGGAGGAGCAGGCTGTGGGAGGTTCCCTATTGTCACAGGGGGGCTTGGTGCCCCATTAATGCACCTCCCAAGGGCCTGCATGGCCTCTGGCTGTGCTGGGGGCCAGAGGGACACAGGTGGGGGGACACCCAAAGATGTGCCTCACACCCCCCTGTACACACCGCCAGGGAATTGGGGGGCTACCCTGCTTCCCCTCCTTGTAGGAGTCCTTTGCCCTCCAGCCCCACTGGTGGATGGGGAGGAAGGGTTGGAAACCCCACCCCCAAAGACTAGCAGTTACCAGTAACTTAGTAACTTCTTTCTAACTTTTTCTTCCTTCCCCTGGGCGGGGAGTGGCCAGGTGCCCCTGGGCTCTTTGTGTGTGTTCAGTCCGGGGGAGGCTGCTGATCCTCCAGCTGCCTCTGAAAGGGGTGTGGAGGTTCCAGGCTCACGGGCTGGTTGGGGGGTGGGTAGGGAGGAAGGGTCCCGCCGCATGCCCCCAGCTCTGGTCTCCCTCCAAGAATTTTCACATGGTTTTCTTAGTGGGACCCCCATTTCATGGATGAGCAAACAGGTTTGAAGCCATCTGCCCATGCAGTTATTTATAAAGTCAACCACCAGGCTGGCAAGGTGGCTCATGCTTGTAATCACAGCACTTTGGGAGGCCGAGACAGCTGGATCACCTGCGGTCAGGAGTTCAAGACCAGCCTGGCTAAAATAGCGAAACCCTGTCTCTGTTAAAAATACAAAAAAAAAAAAAAAAAATTAGCTGGGTGTGGTGGCGGGCGCCTGTGATCCTAGCTACTCGGGAGGCTGAGGCAGCAGAATTGCTCGAACCCAAGAGGTGGAGGTTGTGGTGAGCCGAGATCAAGCCACTGCACTCCAGTCTGGGTAACAGAGCAAGACTCTATCAAAAAAAAAAAAAAAAAAAATTTAAAAAAGCACCAAATCTGCCTCCTCCTTCCAGTTACTGGAGCCCCCTGAGACTAGGTGCTGGGGAGGGAGCCCTTCCTTGGCTGGGGGTGCAGAGGGGTGAGGAAGAACCCTCTGGAGATGGGAGGTGGGGGTTAGCAGAGGTGCAGGTTGGGCTGTTAGAAGGGGACCCTACTACCTACACCTCTTCAGTGTCCTCCCCAGATGGGACCCCAGCTCAGTCCCATGAGGGTAGGGTGTGCCCAGGACTCGGACACAGAGGAGAGAGGCTATCCTCCTTACACACCTCCTCCACCCATCCATTCATTTAAGAAACTTTTAGGCCGGCTGAGGTGGCTCACGCCTGTAATCCCAGCACTTTGGGAGGCCGAGGCGCCGCAGATCACCTGAGGTCAGGAGTTCAAGACCAGCCTGGCCAACATGGTGAACCCGTCTCTACTAAAAATACAAAAATTAGCCAGGCGTGGTGGTAGCACCCGTAATCCCAGCTACTCGGGAAGCTGAGGCAGGAGAATCGCTTGAGCCCAAGAGGTGGAGGTTGCAGTGAGCAGAGATCGTGCCATTGCACTCCAGCCTGGGCAACACAGCAAGACTCCATCTCAAAAAAAGAAAAAAAAAAGAAACTTTTGTTGGCCAGGCACTGTAACTCGCTTTGAGAGGCTGAGGGAGGATGGCTTGAGCCCAGGAGTTGGAGACCAGCCTTAGCAAAGTTCAAGACCCCGTTTCTACAAAAACATTTTTTCAGTAAGCTAGGTGGCTGTGGTGCATGCCTGTGGTCTCAGCTACTGGGGAGGCCAAGGCGGGAGGATCAACGCTTGAGCCCAGTAATTGGAGGCTGCAGTGAGCTATGATCCTGCCATTGCCCTCCAGCCTGGGTGACAGAGTGAGACTGTCTGGAAGAAAAAAAAAAAGCCAGGCACAGTGGCTCACACCTGTAATCCCAGCACTTTGGGAGGCCCAGGCGGTGGAATCTCAGGGTCAGGAGCTTGTCTCTAATTTAAAAAACAAAACGATTGAGCACTCCAGGGAGCAGAGCTCACCACCCACATTTCAGAGACGATTTTAGGCTGGAGAAGCAGCTGACGCCTGTAATCCCAGCACTTTGGGAGGCCGAGGTGGGAGGATTACTTGAGTTCAGGAATTCGAGATCATCCTGACCAACACAGTGAAATCTCGTCTCTACTAAAAATACAAAAATTAGCTCAGTTTGGTAGCAGGTGCCTGTAGTCCCAGCTACTTGGGAGACTGAGGCAGGAGAATCGCTTGAACCCGGGAGGCAGGGGTTGCAGTGAGCTAAGATCGTGTCACTGCACTCCAGCCTGGGTGGCAGATCGAGACTCTGCCTCTCAAAAAAAAAGAAGGGACTTTAGCTGCCCTACCCTAACCTGTGTACCCCCCACCCAACCCTCCAATAGTCCCAAATCCAGCCAGAGTCCATCCAGATCCCAGACACCGGCTCTCCTTTCCAAAGAGGAGTGGCTGGGGTCTGGGCAAAAAAACAGGCTGAATTACTCTGGGGGTGGAGCTGGGGTCCTGTCCCCTGTCCCCATTCCCCTTAATCCATGTCTGGCCCAGCCACAGTGACATTCATCCCCCGGTGGGTCTGGCCTCGGTCCTCACAACCCACCGACAACAATGAATGTTGATTGTGACCTTGGCTGTGGCTTAGGGGAGGGGGTGTGCCCAGGCTGGGACAGGGGATCCCCTGGTCCCCCTAGATCTGGAAGGTCAGAGTTACCGGCAGGAGGGCGGCAGTTCCAGGTCTCAGGGTCCACTCAACGGTCGATGGTTTGCTTGAGCTGCCCAAACTCACCGACAGGTTGAATGTTCCCCCAAACCCTTGGCAAACTCTCCTGGACCTGGAGTGGGGGGGAGCGCGTAGGTGGCAGGGAATCATAGAGGGTGAAGGGGAAGAGGAGGAGGGAGTAAGGGACCCCTTGTTGCTCATGAAATTAACAAACCCTTTTCAGGTGCCAATCTGGGAAAACACAAGGCAAATATAAATGATAGTACATAAAATGTAGCCTTTGCTGAGGGGATGGAGCTGTAGCCCCGGGAGTGCTGGCTTCAAGGCGGTCCCCTAAGTAATTCACAAAGCGGTCCTGGAGGTGCACATGACCTCCCATTTGTCAACTGGGGAGACTGAGGCCAAAGGGCACTGCTAGTCCCAGGTGGAGGCGGCATTCCAAGTGGCCCCGGGAAGTCTGGCAACCAAGGATCCTGGCCCCGGGGCCACTGATGCAACGTGGAGATAAACAAGCCATTTTAATACAATGTAATACGTTCCGGGAGCTTCACTGGGTTCCGGGCACGACCGTTTAGGAACCACAACAGCCGGGATTGGGGGCGCCTGGGGGGAGTGGTCAGGTCTCTCCGCTTTGCAAGTACAGTTCCCAATCAACAAGGGAGAGGGGGGAAGTTCAGAGAGGGCGCTGCTCCCGCCGCCTGCCCCGCAGCACAGCATCTGAACTCGGACACTTCCGGAGCGAGCGCACGGACCGCAGCCACGTGGGGGCTGCCCCTCGGACCTCAAAACAGGCTGCGGCGCCTCCCCATTTCCTCATTCTTCAAATGGCCCCCACTCCGTTACTCCAGTGATTGCACAGAGTTTGGCGACCACCCCCCTCCCCGCCTCAGGTGCCCCAGGCCTATAGCTATGCACCCCTATCCCCCAGCCAAGCAGTGACCAGGGATGGGGGAGCATGCTTTCGCCCCGCCCCCCGTCCCCCCATCTGCGGACGGCTTAGGAAGGAGCATTCAGAGTTCCTGGGCCCGGCCGGGCACTGAGGCTCACGCCTGTAATTCCAGTATTTGGGAGGCCGAGGCGGGAGGATGGTTTGAGCCCAGGAGATGGAGACCAGCCTGGGCAACAAAGCGAGATCACCGTCCCTACAAAAAAAAAAAAAAACAACTTAGCTGAGTGTGGTGTAGTGAGTCTGTAGTCGCGGCTACTCAGGAGGCTGAGATGGGAGGATCGCTTGAGCCCTAGGAGTTCGAGGCCGCAGTGAGCCGTGATCGCGCCCCTGCACTCCGGCCTGGGTGACGCGGCGAGACCCCCGCAAAAAATACATGACTTCCTGGCCCCTAACATGTCACCAAGGGGCATACTGAGGCCCAAAATAAACTTCTGGCATAACCCCAAGGCGAATGAGGGACCCCAAGTGTCCCGACCTGAGCGAACCCACCCCCACCACCCGGGACCCGGCCCAGCCCCACTAGGCCTTGCCCCCCGAGAGCCCCACCCACAGTCTGGAGCCAGCCAAGGCCCCGCCCCAGGCCCTGCCCCTTAGAGCCCCTTAACCTGCTCCCCAGGGCGCGCTCCCTCTAAACTCCGCCCATATAGGCTCCCACGGGGCCCACCCCCAAGCCCCTAAGCCGGTCCTCAAAAAGCCCAGCTCCCCTGGGGCGCGCCCCCACTGCCCCCCACCACCCGCCTCAGAGCCCGCCCCCTTAGGGCCCTCGACAAACGCCTGCTCCCTAGACGCCAGGGGACTGCGTCCGGTCCCCACAAGGCCCAGCCCCCCACTAAGGTCCGCCCCGACCGGGCCCGCCCCCAAGCCTAACTTCATAGGGCCCCTCAGAGCCTGATCCCGGCCAACTCGCCCTCTCGAAGGCCCCCCCCGCCCTCACCTTCTAGAGCCCGCCCTCTCACCCACCCCGGGTCCGGGTCACGTTCCCACCCCTCTGTCTGGAGCTGGAGTGGGGCGCCCTCTCTCGCTGAGATCGCAGCTCACTCGGGTTCAAGCGATTCTCCTGCCTCAGCCTCCAGGGTAGCTGGGACTACAGGCGCCCCCCACCACGCCCAGCTCAGGTTTGTATTTTTAGCAGAGACGGGGTTTCACCATTTGGTTTCACTATCGCCAGGATGGTCTCGATCTCTTGACCTCGTGATCTGCCCGCCTCAGCCTCCCAAAGTGTTGGGATTACAGGCGTGAGCCACTGAATCCATCCCGGCTCTCTCTATCTGCCACCTCCACCTGGGTGTCCAGGCCCTTCTGAGGGAAGTGGCCTGTCCCCTGCCTTGCCTGCGGGGCATCATTCTAAGGAGAAGAATGCCTGGGACCTGGGCAGGAGAGTTGGGAGCACAGGTGTTAACAGGAGCATTACTGGTGATAACGCTAATTCATGGCCCCGTGAATAGGCTACCCATTTGGTGGACCGGGAAGGTGGGGCTCTGACGGTCCAGAACTCTCAAGGTTCCTCAAAAGCTTGGTTCCTGCCTGTAGTCCCAGCTAGCCGGGAGGCAGGAGGATGGCTGGAGCCCAGGAGTTGGGACTAGCCTGGAAAACACAGGGACACCCCCATCTCCATCTTTTTCTTTTCTTTTTTTTTTTCCTTTTTTTGAGATGGAATCTTGCTCTGTTGCCCTGGGTGGAGTTCAGTGGTGTGATCTCTGCTCACTGCAGCCTCCACCTCCCAGATTCAAACAATTCTCCTGCCTCAGCCTCCCAAGTAGTTGGGACTACAGGTGCCCCACACCAAGGCTAATTTTTTTATTTTTTTAATTTTTATTATTATTTTTTTTTGAGACGGAGTTTCGCTCTTGTTACCCAGGCTGGAGGGCAATGGCGCGATCTCGGCTCACCGCAACCTCCGCCTCCTGGGTTCAGGCAATTCTCCTGCCTCAGCCTCCTGAGTAGCTGGGATTACAGACACGCACCACCATGCCCAGCTAATTTTTTGTATTTTTAGTAGAGACGGGGTTTCACCATGTTGACCAGGATGGTCTCGATCTCTTGACCTCGTGATCCACCCGCCTCGGCC